CAAAAAGACCAAAAAAAAAAAAAAAAAAAAATTAGGGAAAAAAGAAAGCAGTAAGTTGAATGATTAAATTCATTTTAATAATGCATTATAAATGATAATTATGAAACCATGATAAATGCATGAATTCATTTTTAAAAACAGACAAGAACATATATTTTGTTATGTTGAAAATGAGCATTTCAATCTGGGTCTCAAGATTTCTAATAGATCTTGAAGAGAGTTTCCTGCAATAAGAACTGGCTCCTCTACCAACTGGCAACAACTAGGTTGTACATCTCAGAAAAAGTCAGCCCTAGCTCCAGAAAAAAATATGTACTATAGCAACGTCCAATTTCTCTGACATTAAATTTAATTTGTATTCTTCAACAGAAAGTGTACATTTGTAAGGTCTCAAGAATGTTCATATAGCATCTTTTACTTTAAAGTGTCAAAGCATTCTTGGCCATAATATTTTGTTTTCATAATTATAAATTAATACAATGACATAATTTAGGATTGTTTAAGGTTGCTCTTTTGGGGACCCCTATGATGTTCATCACTGCTAACTTCCTTAATGAAATATTGTTGACTGAATAAGTAGCTCTTTTAATGAACCTGCCACAAATATCTTTTTGCCCACTGGGCTATGACATATTTAGAGCCACAAAGGGGCTCTGATTTGGAAGTCCACTTCCCATTTCTGAGACTGACAGCAGAGAAGATTCTTAGACATAGGAGTGGGAAGTAGAGAAGCAGGAAGGACTCACATCAAGGTTCAGAAATCTTATCTACACTTCCCACTAGGAACTTCCAAAGAGATGGATAAGAGGTTTGGTAGCTTCACAGTCCTCTGAAGAAAGAGCCAAGGTCAGACTCTCCGAGGTGCAGCCACCAGCCCGCCCCAGAGAGTCAGGGAGTTTGCTATAGGCAAGAAGACTTTATTGCTAAGAGTTCAGGGGGAAATTCTTAGCTGTCCACCTTATGATCTGAAGACCATCCCCCTCTGATACCCTAACCTCCCAGTCCTTTTTACGTACTGTTCTCTGAAGATTCCCTGCCCAACAGCCTACTCAGACTCCTCTTCTCACGTTGAGCTTGATACTGCTCCGCCCTGCTGGTCCTGCACAAAGAATCACAAAGAGTCATATGGCAACAAGACAAGACTGAAGGTCAGGAAGAGTCCGGTGGCTCAGCGACAGCTTCATGAGGTCATGTTCAGGACCGTGGCAAGTCACAGGGAAAGGGGAGCCGGTGTCCAATTTTCAGTGTTTCTTATCAGTGATGGTGATCAGATGGAGGCCCCTTCTGGCTTCGTGTTGCTGTTACTTTTTTACCTCCTACAGGATACACAAATGCCAGTCATCACCACTGCCGCCACCACCACCATTACCTTCATCGTCATCATAGTGTCACCAATACAGTTTATATTTACTGAGTACTTGTTACATGCTCGGTAACATTTTAAGCATTTTTACACATAAACGCTCATAATAACCCTAGGTTTTGAATATCTGATTCTCTTTTTTGCTTCCTTTTATTTAAAAAAAATCTTTGTTTTCCACATTATTATTGGTATTATTTAGCAATTTAAAATGTGATGGCAATCCACCTCTGTAACAGAATTTCTATATTTGGGGAAAAAGAACCAGAAAGGGCTCTCTGGTTACGTAAATATAAAACATGTGCTCATATTTGTCTTGGAGAGACGTGAAGTTATCATAAATCCGGATGTAGATGCTGCAACCCATCTTACTAAGTTCTGTTTTGTAATATAAATGGAATGTATTTTTTAGAATGACTTTATCCTTACAGAATTACAGAAACTTTCATGTACCTTAATATGGGCATATTAAGAAGCTGCTTGGCTGAGATAACACACAAAGCATTGGATGTCGCAGCATTTGGAGGACTGAGCTCATCCTCTTGGTAGCGATGGTGATGGGAGTTTCCCTTCAAAGCAATGGACGTCTCTACTGTAGGTCATTCTGTGCTAGGAAGGTGCAGGACACCAGGAATACAGAAGCCTGGAGATACTTGGAGAGGAAAGGCCAAACTTCTGGGGACAAAGCAAGGTGGGAAGCCAGAGGTCGGGAAAAAGAAGGGAGCTTCAAATACCACCCTCTGGGTATTTATTCACCATGTTATTCTTCATGATTACTGGACTGTCCTTGCGCTTTCAGTCAAGCTCCAGGCCTTCCTCTTAACTGTGCTTTGGACATTTGGAAAATAGGCCAGCACTCACGATAGGTCAGATAGATCTGATCAGCAGCGCTCTGGAAAAGCATGTGGTTGGGAGGGGGTACAGGGGGCAAAGACAAAGATGTGTCAATATGCCTCCAGGGGTGCCCAGAGGGAGGAAAGCTATGTCATTTGAGAGTGAAAGAGGCTTGTACTTTAGTAGTGTAGATTTTAAAGGGCACTTAATTATAGGTTCAAGCTCAGTTGTGTTGAAATAATTTACACTGTCAATAATAGCTAAAGGACAACTCCATATGTGGTAGAAGATGTGATGCTTCCTTTTCTAATCAACCATTTCTCAAAAAACACATAGAATTTTTATAAAAAAGATAACATGCATTCTTGGTGTTAGATTTCATGGAAGTATTATTTAAATATATGAAAATATAAATCTAGGTTAAAAGTCCTTGTCCTTACAGTTCTTACAAAATCATAGAAATTAATATGAATAAAATTATAAAAGCACTCTAATTAACAATATCAGTAGCTGTTGTCACCAGTGATGCTCTTTGGTGAAACTAAATGACCAAAATGTGGTTTAAGAGCAGAAATTAATTTGTTCAGTTCCAGTTCTACATTTAATTCTGTTCCAGAATGTTTAGGGCTTATTTGATTCGCTGGTGCATGTGTGTAGTACATGATGTTTATGTTCTTTGTGGGGGGGTAGATTCACACACATTACACATCTTAATTCCTTTTTTCATCCTCTTTCCCTCTTTACCCTCTTGTTCGCTCCTTCTCTTCATCTCCTTCCAGAATTTTGACCTTCAAGGGCTGTGTAGTGAGAGTACCTATTAGGACAAGTATACTATCAACAGTTACAAAACTTCAAAGCTTTGTTTCCTAGTTTAGAATAAGTGGACCTAAAAATTAATGAAAAAAGTCTCCCAGTGAGATCCTAATGTGGGGAATCTACCCACTTAATAACCATACAAAGCTGCCTTGTGTATTCAAAACTGAGGTGATACTATGGAATTTTTGAAACCTGCATTGCATGGGAATGTAATACAGCTTACAATGGTGCGAATCAGAAGCAGTACATTTTCCACTGGGCATTTCCTCCTCACTTACTGCAAGACGCTATGAACAAAGAGGTGGCCTGGGATACACAGCTACTCACTACCTTCCTGAGAACACTGTACACAGCTCAGTGCTGGGGCTATAGGACTTTATCATTATGCATATGGGCAAGCTCAATTTTCCCACCTCCTCTTTTTGTTTCCCACCCCCAGCAAAAACTTCCTTCAAAGAGTGTACCATGTTATTGTCCTCTGTTGATGCAAATTTGAATGGAAAACAAAATTGTAAATGCTAGCACTGAAATCATGTAGCAGTATTTTCTTACGATGTGATCATTTAGATGATTAAGTAGATATTTGGTTGGGCTGGGAATGGCAGTCCTGGGGACTTCACACAGAGCTACATCACTGCTTTTTAATTTTTTTTTTTTTAAACAGGGTCTCATTAGGTTACCATGTTGCCCAGGCTGGGCTTCAACTTGCCATCTCTTGCTCCAGCCTCCCAGAACGCTGGGATTACTGTCCTAAACTGCCATGCCTGGCTTCAGATTTGATTTCCTTATGATTATCATTAAAATGACACCCTCCTCATGTATTTCTGAGTGGACGGCATGGCTCTGGTTTGAGAACCAGGTGAGTGCTCAGGTTTCTGGGCTGTTCCACTTTGGATGGGAGAATAGGGGACTAGCCGTGGAACAGGGTTGCTTGGGCTTTGACACCTCCTATTCTAGGGCACATGTTGCCCTCTGCCCCTGTATTCCTTAAAAAGGAATGTTCCAACAGTTTCTCCTAGTCCGAGAAAGTCTTACAGCCACCTCTTGGTTTTGGCCATTTTCTTGTATTCTTACATATGAACAGAGTCCAGAGATGGGATGCTGGAGTCCCAATCTACCTAAAGTGCTCAAATAGGCCTGAATCCACACGGGACCACACTGAGGCTCACACTATGCTTTAAACTATATCTGAAAATTTCCTATTTTTCATGCTCTGGAGGCCTGGAATTTCACTGACCTGGAAAAGACTGACCTTCCCCGGGCTAGCTAGTTTCTACCTTTGCCTTGGAGCCTGCCTCTCTGATGCACAAACCAAACAACGCTGAGTCCATACCTCTACTCTCTCATTCTCCAGTTCTCACACTGCAGGAGGCAATATTTTCTTGCTTGCCTGTCCCAGAGCCAGGAACCAGACAACTAAGAGCCACCCCTGTATCTCAGAGCCTGCAGACGTTATTCAAACAAGCCAATCCTATACTCCTTTGGCTGCTTATCTGGCTTTCCCATTTCTTTCCACAAAGTGTACCCTAAAGGCTTTTGCGCATGTTTTTTTTTTTTATTTTTATTTTTT